ACACACCCGACACAGAGCATGCCAACACACACTTCACTCATATTACGATCGAATTTCGCACACTGCCGGCTCCCACTACCGACTGAGTCAGGGAGTCCCTTCGACAACCTCCGTCATCATGTATAGATGACACCGACATCCCGAACCGAGTAGCTACTACCCTGATGTACCTGACCTGAGACAACAGTCAGGCTCACCCCACCTTGTGATCCTCGATAGCGGGTGCAACCACGTCCTCCGTCACCGATTCCCTCCAGGTACGTGCGCCCCACTTTCCTCGGACTCTGACTCTCTCTCTCTCTCTCTCTCTCTCTCTCTCTCTCTCTCTCTCTCTCTCTCTCTCTCTCTACCAAGATGAGCAAGGTCACAATGGCCCCTTTTGCCGAAATGCGACGGGTGTGCCGTCGTTCCAAGGGTCTTTAAAGCGAGTAAAACAACTACGAACCTACCGCTAAAACCCGACCAAGTACATTCAGCATTTCCCCACCTCTTTCCCTCTCTCCATGCACGCTCCCTCCTAAGCTCCGCGCGGCGCCTCTTTCTTCTAACTGTAATCCTACGTATCTAACACCGATTCTGACTTCGTATTTAGGATCGTCATGCACCAAAACACTAGCTTAACATCTTCTTCCACTTGATTCTATCAAGAATCGTGTGGGAATCTCGATTTTTCGCCCCTCACGTCCTCTCCTCTCCGCCATAGCCTCGCGCAGCCCAACTCCCTACTAACTCTCTTTCTACTAATTTCCTCCTCAAACTAACACCGCCATGCGATTCGCCCGGTGTTAAATCCTCAGGATCGCTTCTTCCCCCTCTCGATTCCGTTCCGGATCGAGAGTGCTACCGCCTTTCGACTGCGCCCATCTCCCTCCTCCGCCATCTCTCCTCTCGTCTGCATGCGCCTTGTACACAAGCCCGTCCGGGTTCACCCACCGTTGCGCCCTCCTGCCTTTTCCCTGCCGTCCGCCTTTGCCATGCCCTTTGCTGCACTCCCATCTGCCTAGCATAGTCCGATGGCCCGCTGCGCTATCGCCCGTTGCTCTGCGCTCTCTTACTCCGTACGCACCTTGCCGAGGATCACGTCCAGGTTCGCCCCCCACTACTACCCCCGCGCCTCATCGGTCCATCCCCCACCACCCGCTACTGCATGGCGCTACTCACTCCGTTCTTCCCCTTTCGCTTCGTCCATCCCTGCGGGAAACCGTGGAGAAAAAAAACTGCCTCGGCCCAACCAAGCCCGTCGCTTATGCTAGCCCACTACCTCGTCCGTGCTACTCGTAGTACGGTCTCCTAACAGACGACCCGACAGTGCCAGGGAGACGATCCGTGCTATCAGCACACCAAAAATCCAGAAGCCCGGGCCGCTTCCTGATTTATGCGTGTCGTCCTCGTGCAGGGCCGCGCTAACTTTCTCTGTGTCATCCCAACTTCGTCAGATGTCCCAAAGGACTTTGACCGGGGCCGGACTAGCCATCTCCGTGTCGGTCCAACCCTAACAGATATCCCGAAGGACTGGCGCCGACCAGCGGCCCCTCCTGCGGCCTTTCAGAATTCGCGCGGGCACCGGGCGCTATGCTTTAATGCACGAACCCGGTCCCTCTTCTGTGGTAGATGCGTGTCAACGTTATGCAGGGGCCATGCTAATCTCCTTTGTATCGTTCCAATTTTTTAAACGGATGTCCCGAAGGACACAACCTGGACCGTGGGGACGACTGGCCCCACGCAATTCAGGATGTTTGGTTTTGCTCATCGTTCCTTCATCTGGGTGTGAACGCCAGCGTGTACTCCAAACAGTTCATGGGTGGACCCACTGAGTTAGGCTCTTGGGCCTGTCACACTCCCAGTGTGCCGCGTCCCAAGGTAAACGGGGCGCCGCTCCAGCGCGTCCACGAAAACAGTTGAAAATTGCACCTCAATCAACCCTCATGGATACAACATACTCCACGCGGCCCCATACCAACCTCGGTATCGCGTCCCGAAGCGGGACGCGAGTACAAAGTGAAACTAAAACAAAAATAACAATAGGTATATAATAAAAATTTAATAAAGAAAACAAAACGGGGGGGGGTTTCCGTGGATCGGGCCCGCCGCCACACCCGCCAACAAAACCGAGGGGGATAGCCCTTCCGGGCCCTCTACCCCTCAGGTTTTTCCCTCCGGGTTGCTCTGCTGCGGCTGCGTCGACGCCCGCTGGCCTCGATCCCGAACCTCGGTAGTGTCAGTCCAATGTCGTTACCTATAGGGCTAAGCCCAAGCCTGGTACCAGTGGGCACGAATCTCCTAGTAAAGAGGTAGCCCCTGACTTTCGGGGCCAAGGAACCGCCCCATGCCACTTCTCGGCCCGCACTTGCACGTCGGCCTACCTGCCGTGCCGCGGCTACCCTTCCCTAACCGAATCCATCAGGTCCCATCATCTGGATTCCGCGTACATCCACATCGGCTCCCTGGACCGCCCACCGTACCCCCTGGAACCAGAAAACAGCGCACTCATAGTTAGTCAGTTAAATCAAAACAAATATTTTGTTATAGCGAAGCACGCCGATCGGAATCCACGCCACATCTTCCACTGCGATCAAAGGAGAGAAAAATCAATGCGTGTCTCGAATCTGCGCGCCCACACACTCTCTAATCTGACCACACACTTAGACACTGTAACCTTCGGACATCGCTACGTCTCGCGCAGCACACTTGAACCTTTAGACTTAGCTTACCTTCTGTCATTTGCAAAGACCAGGGCGGATACCCTTGTAAGGGTATTCGCACCGACACCGCGAGACCGACCGGGCCTAGTCTTTGGGAAAAATTTTATCCATACTCATCAGGACTCATCTCCCAAATTTCAAACACAGGTTTGTATTTCAACAGTTCAATGGTGTGCCCATTGAGCCAGACCCATGGGTCTCACGACCGGCCTTGTGACCGGTACCACCACGTCCCATAGTGGGAATAAGAAAAATAAAATTAAAAATAGTAATAATTAATAAAACTAAAAAAAAGAGAATAGGAAAAATCGATAGGAGGAGGGGAACCGTCAGGGCTTGGCCCTCGGCCCCGCCTTACGGGCCCCCGGTCGGATCCCCCAACAAAACTAAGGGGGATAGTCCCACGGGACCCTCGACCCCTCAGTTTTAGCTTCGTAACGCTCCTCCGCTCCTCCAATGATGGCTGCTGGTCTCGATCTTAGGATCTGCTGGCTGAAAGTTCAGTACCTTAACCAATAGGGCTAAGCCCAAGTCTGACCCTAGCACACTCAAATTCCTATATCAGTAGTTATTCACAGTCTGCCTGGGCCTGTAGTTAATGCACTAAGGCCGCCGCTTGCTCCGCCTTTTGGGCTTAAGGCCTCGCAATGTCGTGCTTTGCTGCCTGGGAGGACAGTTATTGCTCAGCTCACCACGCGCACTGCCCCGCCATACTGCGGCCGCGGGCCGAGGCTTTCATAGCCCTCTACGCTTGTCAACGAGCCCGCTTTTACCCTTTTCGGTTGGAAAGACCCCGTCGTACTAGGTTAAAACTTTCCTCGGCTCCCACCGTCGACACTTATTGTAGTCTGACCTAGTACTTGCACACTCCATACGGTGCGGCCCCAAAATGTCGCCTTCTTAGTAGGTCAACCGACAGTCTTCCCTTTTTTTCGCAGCCTCAATAGTTAAACTCTGCGCTGACCGCGACTCTGTCAGCGTCTCCAAGGTTGCGACTTGCCTTGCTTATTTAAGATCCTAACGTACTCCTGGATCGCACTTCCAAGTGAGATTATTGGTTTATACTGAGTAACTAGGTTCTACAGTTCCAGCGATGCTAAGTATAGCCCCTTAGCTTGACCTTACAAAGTATGTCCCTTATACTGAGTTCATTGTAGTCTGGCATTCTCTCTCAAAAACTTTCAGCATAACCAAAGGATCACGTACCAAATGCTCATGGGACTACATGGAGGGATAGTGTATTTTTCAACATTCCAACAAAATACTCAATAAGCCCACAAAGGTCGTGCCTCCCTTACTTTGATCAGGGCAGGTAAGGTCACACGTCTTAGGGACATTTCTCAAATGTTTTTCAGAATTCTATCTCAATTGCTATAAGTTTTCCATCCATAATTCTCACAAAAGTTTTGGCCTTTCCTCGTCAGACTTACATTCACATATATATATATATATTTTTTATCGTTATAGTATCTCATTGGAGTGCTCTCTCATAATATCACTTTCATATAAGGAAAAACCCAATCAGCCATTGAGTTTCCTTCTCTCGCTTTTGAATCACACACAAGACACAACTTTAGTTGCGACCTTTCCATTCATCATCACTCAATTCATTGCTGAATATAACACAAAAGTCTTTCCTCTCAAACAGACGTGAGGTGCACTCTCTTTTCCTGTACTTATGACTTCGTCTGTTATTGTAACAGGTATGCCTAAGTATAGAGGGAGATAGTGCAGATTAGGTCGTCTTACAATATTTATTTCATCACAACAATCATTCATATGAGCAAGTCCACAAACTGAGAGTGAGTGTGACACACCACACAAAAAGGAAGAAGTTTGAGACTCGCGTATGCGCACAAAATCTGGGGCCTTGCAATAATCAAAGACTCCCGTTCATATCGAAAACGGTCAAGGTATCGTACAAATAATCCAAATATCACACAATGAGTCTGGGTATCGTACCAAGTGTCACAATATCTAACAAAAAAATCAGAGTATCCGAACGAAGTGTCAAAGTAAAAGTCAAGGTAAAAAGAAATCAGGATCTCACACCGCTCTTAACGAGAAAGAATCATAAACTCACACAAAAGCACTATCTAAGAACACTCCACACCATACTAAAGAAAAAACGAAGTAATCAAAGTCACACTCAATGTCAACCTATGTACCATTAATCCAGAAAGTCTATAATGTGAAGGTAAACATCTCAATGTCAGCTTTAGTCACTGATATACACGGTCGTGATCCAATCCTCCATGTGTCCTCCTATATACAATCATCCATCAGTTACTAAGTCAGAGATGTCTTATACATACTAGCTATAGATCTTTCAGGACCCTATTAATGAACCCTACTCTTGATCACTCATAACCATCTGCAGCTGTCTATACAACTGCGCCCTCACCCCATCATGAGTCTTAGGGACTAGGTCCCCATCCCTATCTCTCCACCTCCCAGATGCCTCCCTGGTAACCAAGCCATCTGCCTCATCTTTGAGGCTCTTGGGACAGTCCTCAGACCTATGCTTGCCCTTCTTGCAGTAGAAGCACTTGCCAGGCTTCCTTTGGGACATCTTGCCTTCGCTCTGCGAGGGCGCTGATGAGGAGGTTGATGTAACCTCGCTCGTAACCTCCTGCTGAGGAGCCCCTGAAGGAGTAGGACAGGTTGTTCTGTCATCTGTCTGGGTCACCTGCTCATCCCCTCGTGCCTCTGGCCCAGAACCAGTAGCCCAAGATCCCAATGCCTCCTCCAGTCCTGTAACAAGAGGCATACCTTGAGGTGTGGTCGACTCTTGACAGTCCTCCAGATTCTCTCCCTCAGCCATGACTTGCCCTGTAGTCTCCTGAGCTTCCTTCACTTCTGTAGCTTCTCCCTGAGTGATCATCGGAGCACCCTCATCTTGTGCGGTTTCTGCCTGCTGCGTCGTATCCTCTCTCCTCTGTACCTGCTCAAATGCCAAAATAGAGGGCATTTGCCACTCAACTTCATCGACCTCTGCCTCCTTCTTTGTTGGTATCTCCTCCGGTTGCAACGTCTCCTTGTCTAGCAAGGGGATCTCCTCACCCTTCTGCTGACTTGCCCCTTCCTCTTCCTTCTGGCACTTGAAGGCTTCTTCTGCGGGCTGTCTTCTGATCCCAAACCCTTGGACCTCTGTCCAATCCACCACTGTAGTTGGCGCCTGTTGTGCACATTTGGCCCCAAGATCCTCTATTCTCGTCTCCCACTTAACTTCCTTTGCCTAAAAGGTATTCTGTTGTACTTGCAAGTAGGTCCTCAGGGTGTCGTTAACTTTGTTGAGGGTCTGGTTGATGTGTCTGATGGCCTCGTTGTCTGCCCAGGCCTTCTCCACCTCAGCCTTCATGGCTTCCACCTCCTTGTCCTGCCTTTCCCCTTTCTTCTTCAAATCGTCAATTTCTTTTTGCCAATCCATTTTCTGCTCACGAGACGCCCGCGCCACCCTTGTCAACCTCTTCTCCATCTTTCCATCAGAAGCCTTGGCTGCCGCAAAACCTTCCTTCATAAGACCCTTCAGGTTAAGCAAGTCTGTAGAGACCAGCTTAAGCCCCATCTCCTGATGTTGCTCCCTGGGCCTCCTTGCTGCCTCTAACAACCTGTCAAAGCTGTCCCAAGCCTCTGTGAAAAGAGGGGTCTCATCGCCCTGAGCGCATGAGCCTTTTCTCTTTCCGTCTTCTAGTACCACAGGCTGCTCTCCCTGCTCAACCTTCTCGTGCAGCTCCGCAAGGTTCTTAAGTCTGATTTGGACTCTGATCTCTCTCTCTGTTGCTGCTCTCTCCTTCCTGTCATGTTCCTTCTCCTTTGCAGCCTGATCCTCACTCTGCTCCTGTCCTTGTGGCTCATGAGGCAGCTCTGGCTCCATGCCTAACATAGGGCAGTCCTGAGCAGGCTGAGGAGGTGCATCTGATCCACTTGGTGCCCCTCCTTCCTGAATCCTCTCTGCAGTCTGCCTCTCTGTCTGCTGTGTCCAGTCAACATGTTGTTCCTCTCTCCTCTGAACCCTCTCAGCATGCTACTCTTCTCCTCTCTCTTGCCTGTGGGACTTGTACTCTCTCCTTCAATCCTAGCAACCTCTTCTTGAAGCAACGAGTTTGCCAACAGGTACATTTCACCTACCAATTGTTCATGCTTTTCTACCTGCTGGGGTCCGGTCTCCAATGTGACAAAGTCTTCCCGCAGTTGGTACTTATCTGCCAAGACCAACTCCATCATCCACTCCACTCCTGGCATTCCCCAAGAATCTTTCTCAACATAAGGTTTGAGGACTCTATCCGGCCGCCGCACATGACCCGGAGGTACGAGCCATATAGGTCGTCCAAGAGTAACATAGTTACCTATAGCCAATGACCAAAAGTTAATGTGGAGTTTAACATCCTCTTCCTTGTCCAGGAAACCGTCGACCGGTGGAGTATCTTCAATCACCCATTTGTTGCTCTTGTCCCAGTCGATGCGACTTAACCCATCTGCCCTATTCTTGTTCCCAGGAATACGCTCCAATTCGAAGTTAAACATCCAGATGTACATCAACCACCTGGCAATGGTTGGATCTGAAGCAGCGAAGTTCTTAAGGAAACCAGCTAGAGCAGTTGGGTCTACCCTCAACATAAACCTGCTACCAAAAAGGTAGTTTCTAAAGATCCTCAAGCAGTGAAGAACTGCCAAGGTCTCGCGCTTAAACTGAGAGTAATTCCTCTCAGTTGTGTTAAGCGTTCGACTCTTAAACCTTAGCGGTCGATCTTATCCATTGAGGTCTCGCTGGATCAGTACCCCTCCCAGGGCAGTCGACCCTGCGTCTGTTTTCACGATAAAAGGTCTGGTCATCACAGCCGCATGGTCTGGTACCCCCAGCACTAGACCCCCTTCCTCAAACTCTTTCTTCAGACCCTCTATTACTGACTCCTGCTTGTCTCCCCATTTTCAATCCTGACCTTGGCGCACAAGCTTTCGCAATTGCTCTGTCTTTGCCGCAAACCCTTTGATGAACACTCTTCAAAACCCACATGTTCCTAGGAAGCTCCTTACCTCTGTAATTGTCTCGTATGGTGTTGGTCATTCGAGAATCTTGTTCGTTTTTTTAGTGTCTGGCCGACGACCTCTCTCGTCGCACACAAACTCTAAGATCGTTGCTTTACGCATACAATGCCTGGACTTTGTTCCGCTTGCAGTGAAGTTATGCTCCTTTAACAAGTCTAGGACTTTACATAGATGTTCCACATGATCCCAGACAAATCGTCTAATCCCAGGCATCACCTCCTGCTCATCCTTCTCTTTTGGCCCTTTCACAGCCAGATCATCGATGTAAGGTTGTGTAATGTGAGGACTTACTGGTTGCATTGCCCTCACCATGTGTTTCTGGACCATGACAACCGCGTTTGTTCACCCTTGCGGTGCGATATTCATGTGAATCAGCCCTCGAGGGGTATGCATCGCAGTCATTGGTCTGTCCTTAGGGTAAACAGGAAACCGGTCATAACCAGAATACAAGTCTATGAGAGATATTATGGATCTCCCCGCGCATGCCTCGGAAAGCGCATCAGCGTTAGGGAGACCCCCTACATCTCTCACTGTTACAGCATTCACGCGCTACAAATCGAGGAACATCGTCCCATCATGCTTATTAAGTACGACGGTCTCCATTCGACTTTAAAAAAATCGGCCCAATAGGATGGGATGATCGAGGTCGGGCATCACAAAAAAACAGTTTCTCACTTTAACCTTGCCAATCTCCAAAACCACTCTCGATGCGGTCTCTATGAACACAAACCGACTATTCGCTCCCATTAGAACTCCATTATCCGAGCGGTCAATCTCCATCCCCAAACGCAAGGCATGCTCCTCTTTTATGAGGTTCATTTCYGCCCCAGTATCCACCATTGCCGTGCACGTTTTTCCTTTTACTACTACGTCCAAGCATCCATATGCGACGGACTTCCAATCCATCTTCGTGCCTATCTCTGCCCATTCCGCTTCCTTGGGGATTATGACCCTCAATCGTACGCTGGCTACCATCTTCCTGGATAATCGAGCTTTGAGCTTGTCCCGGAGCCTTGGGGCTGAAGCCAACACATCCTCCAGGTTCATAAGATGATTATGTCCCTCAAAAATTTTATCCATCATCTCCTTTACATCGTAGCCTTCTTCCACCCGGACACTATATATCCATTCAACTCGCAACGGGTTTTGTACAACTCCGTTGTACCCGTTGTACACCCCCGGGGTCCGAGTTGAATCCCCGTTGAATGGTACAACGGGGGCTTCCCATTGAAATCCGATCAACGGGTCAGGCCCAATGGACCTCGGGCACGTGGCAGAATACACGTGGAAAAAAAAAATTAAAAAATTGCCCTCTGTGTGTATGTGTGTGTGTGAGAAAAACTGCCCACTTTTCTCGTTTTTTTTACTTTTCCTTTTTTTTTTTTTTTTGATTGATTGATTGATTGATTGGTGGGGGATGGGTCGCCCCCC